ACATTTTTAACTGACTGTACCACTCAGGTGTCCCAAAATTCAAAAGTCTTGACAGTGCTGTTAGTAAATGTGCAGAAACAGACCCACACATAGGTTGCTGGTGGAAGTACAGATTGGTATAACCTTTGTCTGTGGAGGCCAATTTTGGTATTATCATCTGTGAAAATTACAAATGCTTTTATGGCCTTTGGATAAAATCTTTGTGTCAGTTGGTATGAGGGACAGTTTATGTGTTAATTGATTAAAATGACCAAAGCAATGATGAATTAAATATTGTTCAAGTGGCTAAAACATATTTTGGGGTTCCAGTATAGATGTTGAAGAAATTAATTAGAAGAAAGCATTTGAGTGGTAGTGGGAGACAGCACTTGATGGACACAGATTAAAAAATTTTTTATTAGGATATCATTTACATAAAATCCTATTCACTCTTTTTAGTGTACAATTCTGTGAGTTTTGGCATATATATATATATATATATAGTTGCATAAGTATCTTCATAATAAAGATATTATTACAGTTCCAGTACCTTCACCCCCAGATCCCCCAGTAATCCTTGGTGTAGTCAGTCTTCCTCCCCAGCCTGAGCCCCTGGCAACCACTGATCTGTTCTCTGTCCATAGGTGGGTTTTTTTTTTCTTTTGCCTTTTCTAGACTTTGATATAATTGGAATCCTACAATAAGTAGCTTATTGAGCCTGGCTCCTTTTACTTAGGATAATGCATTTGAGATTCAGCTGAGTCATATATATTAGAAGTTTGTTCCTTTTTATTATTTGGTAGTATTCCATTGTATGCATATAATATCTGCTTAAATGATAATTGGGTTTTTTTTATCTTTTAGTGATCACAAGTAAAGCCATCTACTTTTAGGTTTTTACATTGAGTTTAGCATTCATTCTGAGTTCATTTTTGCGTTTGGTATGAGATGTGGATTAAGTAACGTTTTTTGGCACATGGGTATCCTTTTGAAAAAGACTATCTTTATTCATTGAAATGCCTTGGTACTTTCGTCAAAATCCAAGTGACCATGTGTATGTGGGTCTATTTCAGGTCTCTAGTTCTGTTGGTTTGTCTTGATCACTATTTGTACTGTCTTGATAACTAGCTTTATAGTAATCTGTGATACAGTGTATAGTGTGGGTTCTCTAAATTTGTTCTCTTTCACAATTGTTTTGGCAGTTGTAATTCCTTTGCCTTTTCATTTGGGGGGGTGGAGCTTGCTAGCATTCTTTAAAAAATTATGTATGTATTTATTATTTTAAAAGATTTATTTATTTATTCAGAGAGACACACAGAGAGAAAGAGGCAGAGACATAGGCAGAGGGAGAAGCAGGCTCCATGCAGGGAGTCTGATGTGGGACTTGATCCCGGGTCTCCAGGATAACACCCTGGGCCAAAGGCAGGTGCTAAACCGCTGAGCCACCCAGGGATCCCCCTGTATGTATTTATTTATGAGAGAGAGAGAGAGAGAGAGAGATATGGAGGGGAAGGAGAAAATCCTAAGAAGACTCCAGGCTCCATTCCCATGACCCTGAGATCATGAGCTGAAGCCAAGAGTTGGAGGTTCAACCAATACAGCCATCCAGGTGCCTCAAACCTTGCTTAGGAATTTGATTAGACATTTAAAGTTTTATTTTCGTATAATACTACATTTTATAAGAAGTTGCCAAAACAGGAGACAATTTTCCATGTATTCTTCATTCAATTTCTTTTTTTAAAGATTTATTTATTTATTCATGAGACACACACAGAGAGAGAGAGAGAGAGAGAGAGAGAGAGAGAGAGAGAGAGAGAGTGAGAGAGAGTGAGAGAGAGTGAGAGGCAGAGACATAGGCAGAGGGAGAAGCAGGCTCTTTGCAGGCTCTTTGCAGGACCCCGATGTGGGGCTGGATCCCAGGCTCATCCCAGGCTCCGAGATCACGACCTGAGCTGAAGGCAGCGCCCAACCGCAGAGCCACCCTGGGGTCCCCTGCATTCAATTTCAACCAGTGAAAACATTTTGCATAACTATAGTCCAATAGCAAGAGCAAGAAATTGGCATTGGTGTAATACACAGTCTGTTTAGATTTTTACAGTTGTATGTGTACTCATTTGTGTGACTGTGTTTATGATTGTTTAATTTTTTAAAAAAGATTTTATTCATTTTAGAGAGAGAAAGAACACAGAGCTGAGGAGAGAGGCAGAGGAAGAGGGAGATCCCAGAAACTGGAAATCATGACCTGAGCCGAAGGCAGATGCTTAACTATCTGAGCTGCCCAGGCACCTCTTATTCTGTCCAATTTTATTTTATTTATTTTTTTAAAGATTTTATTTATTTATTCATGATAGTCACACAGAGAGAGACAGAGAGGCAGAGACACAGGAAGAGGGAGAAGCAGGCTCCATGCAGGGAGCCTGACGTGGGATTCGACCCCGGGTCTCCAGGATCGCGCCCCGGGCCAAAGGCAGGCGCCAAACCGCTGCGCCACCCAGGGATCCCTATTCTGTCCAATTTTATCACAGGTGTAGATGATTGTAACGACTACCACCAAGATCTAGAACTGTTCCATCATCACAAAGATCCCTTGTACTACTTGTATATAGTTATAGTCATCTCCGTCCCTCACCTTCCTCAGTTCTGTCCCTATTCCCTGGCAACCACTAATTTGTTCTCCATAATTGTGTCATTTTGGAGGCTCTTAAATAAATGGATATCATACAGTATATAACATGTTGAGATTAGCTTTTTTTCACTCAACATAATTATCTTGAAATCTATCGAAGTTGTTGGATTCCATCAGTTAATTCCTTTATATTGCTGAGTCATATTCCACAGTATGAATGTACCACAGTTAAGCATCGACCCATTGAAGGATATTTGAAATTAGTGTTTATATTAGTTTGCATTACTTCGCTAGAGTTCCCATTAAAAAGTACCAGAAAATGAATGGCTTGAATGATAATAATCTATTGTTTTGCAGTTTGGAGGCTAGATATCCTAGATCATGGTGTTAGCAAGGTTGGTTCCTTCTGAGAGCTGTGGGAGAGAGCCTGTTCTATGTCTCTTGCCGGGCTTCCTGTGCTTTGCTGACAATCTAATCTTTGGTGTTCTTTAGTTTATAAAAGCATCACCTTGGTCTCTGCCTCTGTCTTCACATGATGTTCTCACTATGTGCATGTCTCTCCAAATGCCCCCACCCATTTTTATTTTTTTTTTATTTTTTTATTTTTTTAAAAAATTTTTTAAATTTATTTATTTATGATAGTCACAGAGAGAGAGAGAGAGAGAGGCGCAGAGACAGAGGCAGAGGGAGAAGCAGGCTCCATGCACCGGGAGCCCGACGTGGGATTCGATCCCGGGTCTCCAGGATCGCGCCCTGGGTCAAAGGCAGGCGCCAAACCGCTGCGCCACCCAGGGATCCCCCCCACCCATTTTTAAAAGGATTTTTAACTTTTAACCCAACATGGACTCCAAACCCACAACCCTGAGATTAAGAGTTTAATGCTCCACTTAACTGAATTTTCCCTTTATATAAAGATACCAAACAGGATTAGGGCCCACACTGAAGTCCTCAATTTAACTTGATAACTTCTGTAAACACCTTAACTCCAAATAAAGTCACATTCCAAGGTATGGGGGGGGGTTTAGGATTTCAAAATATAAATTTTGGGGGGGACACAATTCAACCTAGAACCAAATAGTTTCCCATTTTAGGCTATTACAAATAAAACTGTTGTGAACATTTACATACATATTTTTGTGGACATAGGTTTCCGTTTCTCTGGGATAATGCTTGGGAATAAGTGCTGGTTCTTATAGTAAATGTTTATATGGTTTTTAAGTTCTAAAATTTTTTATGTATAACAATACAATTTATATATAACACGGTGTAAATTTAAGGTGTACAGTATGTTGATGTTATATTTATATGTTGCAATGTGATTACCACCATAGCTTTTAGCTAACACTTCTGTCTGGTCACAAAGATCATTTTCTTGGGGCACCTGGGTGACTCAGTCAGTTAAGCGTCTGACTTCTGCTCATTTCATAATCTCAGGGTTCTGGCATCCCTGCTTAGCTGGGAGTCTGCTTCTCCCTCTCTTTCTGCCTCTCCCCCTACTTGTGCAGTGTGCACTCTTTTTCTTTTTCAAATAAAAATCTTGAATAAAAAAGATCTTTTCTTTTTTATGGCGAGCATGTATGGCTTTTATAAGTGACTTCTAAACATTTTCCCAGAGTGGCTTGTGTCATTTTACATTTCTACCAGCAATATATGAGAATCAGTTTCTTTACTGTTGTTTGGTTTTGTCACTACTTTTTATCTTGGCCATTCTGATAGAAATAGTGATATCTCATTGTGGTTTTTATTTGTACTTCCTCCAATTCAATTTTAGCATTTGTTATTAAAAGATTTTTCTAATTATCTTTTTTGGTATTAACAACCAAATTAATACCAGAATTGGTATTAACAACAAATAAACTTATTAAGTAAAGTCTAAATTTTCTTTATATTTTTGTCTTTGGAATTCATCTCACTAAAGATGTTGTATTTACAATCTTACTATAGGTAAGATTTCTCTGTATACTCACAATTTATTTGATGTACATGATTAGGTTTATTTTTCTAAATTTTTTTTAACTTTAGGGATTTCAGAAGTTTTGTTTCATGTCTTCCATAGGTAATTCATTTTCCTAAATCAAAAGTTAAAATTTGGGATACCTGGGTGGCTCAGCAGCTGAGTATCTGCCTTCGGTTCAGGTCATGATCCTGGGGTCCTGGGATCGAGTTCCACATTGGACTCCCCACAGGGAGCCTATTTCTGCCTATGTCTCTGTGTCATAAATAAATAAGTAAATGCTTTAAAAAAACGTTAAAATTTGATATAGGAAGGTATGCATATGCATAAAAGTCTCCAGAGACTTCTGCCTTCTCTATTTTGTTTCATCCCTTCCCTCTCATAGGCAGCTTAAAAAAATGTTTTTTGTCAATCCTTCCAGTATTTCTTTTTGCACAAATAAGCTTTGCACAGTGGCAGTATTGTAGCCAATGAGGTTTATCCAAGGCGCGATTATTGCTAATTGAAAATTTTTTGCACAAATATCTCCATATATACATTCTTTTTTTTAAGATTTTATTTATTCATGAGAGTGAGGGGGGGGGCAGAGGGATAAGCAAGCTCCATGCAGGGAGCCCGATGTGGGACTCGATCCCAGGACTCCAGGATCCACGCCCTGGGCTGAAGGCAGGTGCTAAACCGCTGAGCCACCCGGAAATCCCCTATACATTCTTATTTTACTGTCCTTTCTTGGAAGTAGTATACTGGCCAAAACAGTTTGTTATAGACATTGATATTAAGTGCCAGACCTAATAGAAGATGTTAGGAGGTGTGTTGATGTCTTCCATGGAGTGAGAGTTGAATCTGCCGTACTAACCTGGACCATTTTTTTTAAAGATTTTATTTATTCATGAGAGACAGAGAGAGCGAGAGATGCAGAGACAGGCAGAGGGAGAAGCAGGCTCCATGCAGGAGACCTGATGTGGGACCTGATCCCGGGTCTCCAGGACCAGGCCCTGGGCTGAAGGGAGTGCTAAACCGCTGAGCTACCTGGGCTGCCCCTGAACCATTTTTTGATCTATCTACAAGTTAGAATCAATATGAATTAGATGGGTTCACTAGTAATTATGCTGATGATTATTACATCATTGGAGAAATCTGCTTGTTACTCTGTAATTTTAGACAGAAAAAGACAGGTGAAACAGTTGAGAAACTGCTTGTTACTCTAATTTTAGAAAAAGAGGTGAAATATAGTTGAATACTTAGTTGTTATTGCTAACCAAAGCAGGTAATAACAGGACCAACCTGTGTGTGGGTGGGGGGACATAATGAAGTAAAACTTTCAAGTAAAATGACATGAGTGGGATATTTGGCAAACATGAACAGAATTAATAAGCAACAAGCAGTTGAAGAATTTTTTTCTTGTTTGGAATTTATTAATCAGGAAGTCTGAGCATAATTTCTGATGGTAGAGATTGCTTTTCATAATGAAAAGAGCATTTTGAGCACTTTGCCAATGCCAAAGTAATAATCATAGAATAAAATGCAGATACTTGCATATGAAGAATCTCCTTATGCATGTTGTTCTTAGATTTTGCTAAATTATTTGACAAACTTTTTTGTGAAGTCGATCATTAGAACACATGTTTTTCTATAGAAAGTTTTCTAATTGAGAAGTTTCTTTTCTGTTGACTTAGCACATAAATCATTAGTACAAGTTAAGTCTTTTGTTTAAAAATTTTATTTATTCATGACACACACACACACACACAGAGAGAGAGAGAGAGAGGCAGAGACACAGGCAGAGGGAGAATGCAGGCTTCATTCAGGGAGCCCGATGTGGAACTTGGATCCTAGGGACTCCAGGATCATGCCCTGGGCCCAAGGCAGGTGCTAAACAGCTGAGCTACCCAGGGATCCCTACAACAAGTTATGACTTAAAAGTAAGGTTGCAATAATTGTAAACCTCTCCAATTTAAGATAGTTTTGAGTTCTCTGAAGTATAGTACACTTTCAGGTGTACCCATTACTTAAAACATTAGTTCTAGTATATATTTTCCTTTAATAGCATATCATTCTTAATATTAAATGTGTGCAGAATCATTATTTTGCTTCCTTTTTTAGCATTTAGATAATCCTTTGGAGGGATGTTTTGCAGGATGCTTTAATATATTTATAGTGGTTTAGTAATAAGGTAGTCTTTTGGTCTCAATTGCTCTAGGACTTAAATTCCCATCATCTTAGAGCTCAAGTTGAGAGTTGGTTTTGTCTCCCTTTCTTTCATCATTGGATGGTATACCAAGGTGGATGAAATGCACTTGTGAGTGTTAGGCACTAAAAATGGAATAGGTTAATGGGCAAAATAGGGGGCCCCCTTGTAATACTTAGCACCAGTAATCTATATATTTTAATATTTGGATATCTCTTCTTGCTGGGACATCTTTATGTATTATATGCTCCCTCCCTCAAATGTAATGGAACCACCTGCTATATTTTAGGGATCAGTAACTTTTAATTCCTAGTATCATCACATTATGAAATTCTAGCATGCTAACCCTTGATTGCAGTTTGCTTGATTTCTGCTTGAAGGTTCTTGTCCCTTTTTTCCAGCTTTAAGTAATGTGCTGATCTCTTGTTAAACTATGAAACTTGTACCATCAAATTTTGAACAACAGAGAAAAATGTTGAACATTTTTATTTATTTTTTTGAATATTTTAAAAATGGGTTTCAATGATCGTTTTCATACTCTAGTGAGTAACTCTGAAAATGTAGGTGGGACTATCTTGCATGGTTCAACCAAGTGCTTCCATTTTTTTTAAAACTAGATATTTCTTTGGATCCTTTGTAATAAGGTTACACTAGCTTTGGTTCCTTTTTACCATATCAAATAGATTAAAAATCTGTTTGTCAAAACAAAGTACTTTGAGTGTAGATATCAATTGTTAGTGTTTTTATAAAATTAGATTTCTGGGGCACCAGGTGGTTCAATTGATTAAGTGTCTGACTTTTGATTTCTTTTTTAAGCTTTTATTTATTTATTTATTCTAGAGAGAGAGAGAGCAGATTACATGCCCAGTGTGAAGCCTGATGCAGGGATCAATGTGAAATCATGACCTGAGCCAAAATCAAGAGTCCTGCCCTTAACCATCTGAGCCCACCAGGTGTCCCCCATCTTAACCATTTTAAGCGGACAGTTCACCAATTAAATTGACATTGTTGTGTAATATCTCCAGAACTTTTCATCTTGAAGAACTGAAACTCTATACCCATTAAACAATTCCCCTTTTTCCACTCCTTTTACCCCCTGATAACCACCATTCTATTTTCTGTTTCTATGAATTTGACTACTGTAGGTACCTCATGTCAGTGGAGTCATATAGTTTTTGTCCTTTTTGTGACTGACTGGCTTATTTCATGTAGCATAATATCTTGGAGGTTCATGCATGTTGTAGCATGTGACAGGATTTCCTTCCTTATTAAAGATGAATAATCCATTATATATATATATATATATATATATATATATATATATATATATATAATATTTTGTTTATCCACTCAGCTGTTGATGGACATGTGGGCTGCTTCCACCTCTTGGCTATTGTGAACACTGCTGCTATGAACGTGGGAAGTACAAATATCTCTTGAGAACCAGCTTTCAGTTGTTTTGGAAATATACCCAGAAGTGGGGATTGCTGGATCATATGGCAGTTCCATTTAAAGATTTTTGAGGAACCTCCATACTGTTTTGCATAGCAGACACACAGTTTTGCAATCCTAACAATAGTGCACAGGTGTTCAGTTTTTTACACATCTTTGCAGACACTTGTGTGTATTTTGATTTCTAGCCATCTCAGAAGATATGAAGTGGTATCTCATTGTAGTTTTTGATTCTGATTCAAATACTTTACCCATATTTTATTTGTATTAATTGGTTTTTTTGTTGTTGAGTTGTAGAAATTCTTTATATATTCTGGATATATATCTTATCAGATGAATGATTTGCAAATATTTTCTCCTATTCTGTAGTTTGCCTTTTCACTCTGTGTCCTTTGATGTGTAAAATTTTTTATGTAGTTTCAGTTGTCTATTTTTGCTTTTATTACCTTTTGATGTCATATCCAGGAAATCATTGCCAAGTCCAATGTTCTGAAGCTTTTCCTCTACGTTTTCCTGGAGGACTTTTATAGTTTTTGGTCTTACATTTAGGCCTTCAACCCATTTTTATTTTTTCCCCATTCTCTTTAACCCATTTTTAATTAATTTTTGCATATGGTGTGAGATAATGAATGGTTCATCTTTACCTTTTGTGAGGATTTCCTAGCACCAATTTTTGAAGAAACTGTCCTTTCCCTATTGAGTGGTCTTGGCACTCTTGTCAAAAATAATTTGAATGTATATGAAAGGGTTTATTTCTGCCCTCTCCATTCTATTCTATTGGTCTGTATGTCTGTCTTTATGCCAGTACCACACCATTTTGATTTTTGTAGTTTTGTGATACGTTTTGAAATCAGGAAGTGTGATTCTTCCAACTTTGTTTCTTTTTTCCAAATTGTTTGGGTTGTTTGTAGTACCTTGGATTTTATGATGAATTTTTCTGTTTCTGCAAAAAAAGCATGCTCTTGTTTTTTGTTTTTAGATTTTATTTATTCATGAGAGACACACAGAGAGAGGCAGAGATATAGGCAAAGGGAGAAGTAGGCTCTCTGTGGGGAGCCTGATAGGGGACTGGATTCCAGGACCCTGGGTTCATGACCTGAGCCAAAGGCAGATGCTCAACCACTGAGCACACCCAGTTGCTCGCTCTTGGGGTTTTTGATAGGGGTTGCACTGAATCTGTAGATTGTTTTGGGTAGAATGGACATCTTAATAACAGTCATCCAATTTCCATAGGGTGTATTTTGACTTCTTTGTGTCATTTTAATTTTTTTTCTCTAAGATGTTATTTATTTGCACGAGTGGGGTGGAGGAGGGGGAGAGAGAAGAAGCAGGCTCCCTCCCTGCTGAGCAGGGAGCCCTCCATGGGGCTCTATTCCAGGACTCTGGGATCATGACCTGTGTGGAAGGCAGATGCTTAACTGAGCCACTGAGGTGGCCCTAAGATTTTCTTTTTTAAGATTTTATTTATTCTTGACACACACACACACACACACACACACACACACACACACACGCACAGAGAGAGAGAGAGAAGGAGAGAGAGAGAGGCAGAGACACAGGCAGAGGGAGAAGCAGGTTCCATGCAGGGAGCCTGACGTGGGACTTGATCTGGAACTTGTGGATAACACCCTGAGCCAAAGGCAGAGGCTCAACAACTGAGCCACCCAGGTGTCCCCGGCCCTAAGATTTTAAGTAATCTCTACACCCAGTGTGGGCCTCAAACTCCCTACCCCAAGACCAAGAGTTGCATGCTCCACTGACTGAGCCAACCAGGCACCCCAAGTGTCCTCTTTAACCTTATCCAGTGATAGTTTGTAATTTGCGGTGTAGAAGTCTTCCACCTCCTTTGGCTAGGTTTATTTCTAAGGTTTTTTTTTCTTTTGGTGCTATTGTAAATAGAATTATTTTCTTAGTTTTCTTTTTTGGATTGTTCAT